GTTATAGCTGCAAAGAGTGAGCCAACTCAATATTGAACCCTACGGACTAAGACTGGGATGCCATTAAAGTTCATGTGCGTGTAAAGGCAGGCGTCCCAATACTTTTGGCACAATAGTGCATCTCATACTTCCCCCTGTATAGACTCACCTGGTGCCACACACCCTGTCTGAAATTTTACCTGTGCTTTACCACCTCCTGCTTCATTCTAAAGACATCTTTTCTTTCTCGTACATCACAAAACACAGAGCAGGCCATAATAATGACTATGTGGGTTATATGCCATCTATAGGTGGATGGACACTGGCTGACCAATCAACCAGGAAGTCTTTCCCCATATAACCCCTCCTACACAGGAAGTACTTAGTTTTTTTTGCCAGTATCTGTAAGGTGGATGTTCACTTAACATGTGCTGCATATTGGGGGGTCTGGAACGATTCTACTGAGAGTCAAGGGCCTTAACCAAAATGGATGGAACCCAAGCCTTACTGGATAAGGAGAAGAATCTTCTGGGTTTTGCCTGTAATGCGGCTTTACAGTGCTGGAATGGATTTTCGGGACCCTGTGCAGTTTGATCTGACCAAGGCACTTCCAGCAGGGTGCTATACGGTTTCAAGGCAGTGGCACCCATTTTAAAAAGGGTGACAGAGTCCCTGAAGGTCTTTAGGACAAGGCCAGCTGTGATGGGTGAAGGTTGGTCACAGATTATGAGTTCAGGGGCCAGCGGCGGGATGGGTAAGTGTTTATATATAATATATTTATATATGCGGAAGAGTCTGCTATGGTTGACTGGGAAGACTTCCAGGGGGAGTCTCTCTTTTTTTTTTGCCTGTATCTGCCTGTCGTACATAATTTTGCCAACGTGAAGGAGTCTGTTGCCACGTGTGCGAGCACGCGCATGCGCAGTAGTAGCAGCAGGAGGAAGTCGGCCATATTATTTACATAGGACGCTGCCTGTTACATGTAAGCTGCTGCAGCCGCTGCTACCACTGCTGCACCCTGAAGGGATGACCAGGACGACACAGGGCAGGTTATTCTAAAAGGCATATGAGTACTCCCCTGGGAGGGTTGGCCAGTCAGGCAGGAGGGTTGTGTACATGCTACCCCCCATTTTTTTTCAGTTGACTGTATTGGAGTGTGTTATTCCACTCTTAACTGCTTACCCGTCGTTGTATAGGAGATATACTGCTACACAGTGGAACGGGTGCGCAAAATCACACATATATATATATATATATATATATATATATACATAATTTTGTATTTCCGGGTAGGGGGCGCACTCGAGCACGCCCTACCTGCGCCTCCGTTAGCGGCCGCAGATGTCAATCTCAGGGGTCCCAGCTGGCGATTACCACAATCATCGACGGGGAGGAAAACTGTTTTGATTACAAACAGTCTTCCTTCCTGTCAGCTCGGGCACACTGCTCAGGATGGCTGTGCTGTGCAGTGAAGCACACATCCTCCGCCCCCTAGGAAAACACTCCCTACACACAGTTAACCTTTTGATCGCCCTTACATTAACCTCTTCCTGCCCAGTGTCATTAGTACAGCGTCAGTGCTGTTTTTTTAGCACTGATCACTGTATTGGTGTCACTATGGGATGTCAGTGACACCAAGTTAGTTTCCCCCGTGTCAGAATGCCCGCCGCAGTCCCGCTAAAAGTTGCTGATCGCCGCCATTACTAGTAGGAAAAGAAAAAAATCCCAGTATCTATACCGCCATTTGTAAATGCTATAACTTTCTCGTAAACCAATTAATTTACACGTATTGGGATTTTTTTTTTTTTTTTTTTTAGCAAAGTCATGTAGCAGAATACATTTTGGTGTAAAATGACAAAATTTGATTTTTTCCATTTTTTTTTTACTGGACATGTTTTATAGCAAAAAGTCCAAAGTATTGCTTTCTTTTTTCAAAATTGTTGGTATTTTTTTTGCTTATAGCGCAAAAAAAAAACCCAAAAACATACAGGCGATCAAATACCACTGAAAGAAAGCTCAATTCGTGGGAAAAAAAGGACGTAAATTTAATTTGGGTGCAGGCGTTGCATGACCTCGCAATTGTCAGTTAAAGTAACGCAGCGCCGTACAGCAAAAAATGACCTGGTCAGGAAGGGGGGTAAATCCTCTAGAGGGCAAGTTGTTAAACAGGTCTATTGTGTATGCTGTGTTTTTATTAAATTCTTACAGAGTTATTGTAACGCTAGTGGAGGTAATGTCATCCTGCTGTGCCTCCTCAGTGGGGGAGGCACGGCAGGAAAGGGTGCAAATGCACAACCACCAAGTCCTTTGTAGCCTAGTCAAAGTTCCACTGTCTTATCCTCTGCTGAAAGAACAGGGGCAACAGGTCAATCTGAGCCGCTGTGTTTATCTGGCATTGTGGCTACTGCCAGTGAGTCTGCATCAGCATATGTAACTAAGGAGGATCTTGCATCAGCCTTAGCACGGTTAGAAGACAAGATTATTGGGATGGTTGGCTCAGGGGGGTAAGAAGCGGGAAAGATTCCCATCTTTGGATCCACCAGTCCTTGAACAAGAGTGGTTGGAACCTGAGGATGAAGATGCAGTAGAGGATCTTGAAGAGGGTCAGGTGATTGATTCTGTCAGAGGAGTCAGCCCTTCTGTCTCAGAGACCTATATTGCACCCAGTTTTACGGTCGCTGAATTTGATGACATGGCTGTTGAGACCCAAATCCTGAAAGATAGGGGAGTGTCAGACTTGGTTATCCACATAATGTTGAATGCTAGGAAGCTGGTTTCTAGGAACATTTATTATAGAACTTGGAAGGCATATATTTCTTGATGTGAGGGTAGGCACCCCCGGAAATATCTGATTTGGAGAATTTTGTCTTTTCTCCAATCAGGAGTAGAAAATAATTTGGCTGTTGGTAGTATTAAGGGTCAGGTTTCAGCCTTGGCTGTTTTCTTCCAAAGACCGATTGCATCTCACTCTTTGGTTCGTACTTTTTTTTTACAGGGAGTGATGCGTACTGTTCCTCCTATCAGACAGCCCTTCTGTCCTTGGGACTTGAACTTGGTCTTGGCAGTTTTACAGAAACCACCATTTGAACCTATCAGGGAGATTCTGTAAGTTATGCTAACTCTAAAGGTTCTGTTTTTGGTGGCAATCACCTCTGCAAGAAGGGCATCAGATTTGGAAGCTCTTTCTTGTAGGGAACAATTTTAGGTTTTACATCAGGATAAGGTGGTGTTACGGCCTCATCCATCCTTTTTACCAAAGTTGGTTTCTAGTTTTCATCTTAATCAGGACATTATTCTGCCTTCATTCTTTCCTAGGCCTCAATCAGCAAAAGAAAGATCTTCACATGCCCTGGATGTGGTTCGGGCAATAACAGTCTTTTTGAGAATGACAACGCAGATTAGAAATATTGATTCCTTGTTTATTTTGGTCCTAGGAGAGGACAGGCGGCATCCAAGTCAAGTATTTCTAAGTGGATTCATCAGTTGATCATTCAAGTCTATGGTTTGAAGAGCAAGGTTCCACCATCACGGGACAAAGAGGTCCCTCCCCTCTTTCTGGATTTTCATTGTTTGCTACAAAAACTGAGTACTTCCTGTGCAAAAGGGGTTAAATGGTGTGAGAACTTCCTGTTTGGTTGGTCAGCCAGTGTCCATTCATCTATAGGTGGCATATAAACCACATAGTCGTCATATGGCCTGCTCTGTGTCCCGTGATGTACTCCAAGAAATGGATTTTACAGGTAAGTATGTAGAAAAAAAATACAATTATTTCAAAATGATATGCAGTGAACAGGACTGCTTCGGCGCTCTCTATTTATTCTTAACACATTACTCTCTCAATCTCAGATTGACCGTGCAGTTGTATATCTCATACAATGTGAACAAGACCTGCAAATGACCCTAACACCAGAACAAGGCCAAAAAAGTCTAAAATCCAAATCTACACCAAATTCCAGCAAACAAGTTTAAAATTCTGTCTCGATGGTACAAAACTTCATCAGTCTTCCACAAATCTTATTCTAATGTCCCTGATAAATGTTGGCTTTGCAAAGATGACAAAAGGCTCCATCCAACGTATGTTTTGCATCTTGCCCTATTGGTTTAAGATCAGAGAAATCTCTCAAACATTTGCTGATTTCGTAATTCCAGACATATCGGCCTTTTTCCTGCTACATCACCTTCCCATTCCTACAAACACTCAGGTTGGATTCACACATGTGTGGTGCGGTTTTGAAGGTCTTTTTTCACAGAAAATTACAAAGCTGTTGTTCAGCGGTTGCCTAACTTGAAGGCACTTGGCATAAAGAGGACATGTAGAATCAGCAATTCTCCAGGAAGCTTATCACTGTGCCTCCTTTTAATGGTGATATTTTCTAGTGATGTTGACCAATTTAAAAAAAAAAAAAAGCACTTTCTGTATTAAGCAGACTTGTTTTATAGATCTTGCAGTAAAGCTTAATAAAGATGTGTATCAACTTATTTTTTACTCCATTACCAGCGCACAACAGATTTTACAATTGTATTCTTTATGCAAAGGCAAGCGTTTTTGAACCAAAGATATATGTATATATGCTGTACTTTACAGGTGGTTATTTCTCTGGCTCCAATCATCTGCCATTTTAAAGAATATGTAAGAGTATCTTTTTCTGATTGTATTGCTTCCTTTGTGTAAAAAGTCTAGGGTGTTTCTGCCAGTCACTCTTTTCTATTAAAAACGGACCACACCAGGTGGGAGAGCACAGTATGGTCTGTTTTCTGTCTGTGCTGGAAGCTAACCCAATGATCAGACTTCTGTTTACACCCCCCGCACACCCATTCACTAGGAAGATCAGCGTGTTGTTGTTTCTCCTCCCCGAACTCCTTATGCATATGAGAACAGAGGGTATGTGATCGCATATGAAAAAAAGGTATTTATAATGTTTTTTTGTTTTTTTTTTTTTCGTATGTACACACAAATGTGCGCACGCCGTTTCTATACTAGGATAGTTAAACAGCAATACTTCTAACAGAAAATAACTTACTGTGGCTATAGGTCCATCCACATGGTAATCTAAACTAAATACATCCCATCCAGTGTCTCCAGGAGATACCTAACAAGTGACATAGAAAAAAAAAATAAACAAAATTTCTCTGTAGATCCATATTAGAACAATAATAACGTCAATAAGCACAGCTGTCACTTCATGTACCTTTTGTGGAATATTTTTATGCTTTTAAGTCAAATTTTCTACAAATGAAAGAATTAAATATTGAAGAAGGTAGACATGGACATGCTCAAAATGATCCTTTATCACTGAACTGTCCTTTTTCTAATATACAACAGAAATGGACAGAAATAGGAACACAATTTGCAAACACTTAATGAATGTAGAAATTTAGCAAACATTTTTGCAGATTCATTCCTTTCTGGATGAAACTGCAACTGCCATTTGTTTTACCATGTTCATTTTGAACACATTTTAGAATAGAAGGATCTGCCTAACCGTTTGGCGTTCGTATAAAAGAGTGGGCAGAAAGCTGAGAAAACACCAATACATCATATCTACTCTACTAAACATGAAGCAGTGCATTAGTAAATATGGATATCCAGATAGATGTGGAAATATACAATTACAATATATGGTTCATAAAATGTTTTTAAAATGAAAATAGACTTATTGGTAAACTAATGCGTGCCAACAAAATCAAGAATATACAAAAACAGTATGATTTTTTTCATTAGATATGTTTTATAGCAGAAAGGAAAAAATATATATATATATATCATTTGCAGTGCAAAAAATAAATTTTGATTGTGTATAGTGTTGCATGACCACGCAATTGAAACATAGTGCAATGTGGAATATTAAAAATTGGCCTGGTCAGGAAGGGAAGAAAATCTTCAGGAGGGCAAGTGGATAATAAAGCGCTTCTGCTGCTATAATCTATGCAGCCTTACCCTCTGGTGAGTGCGGGGTGCTGGTATGTGCACAGTGGATGTCACAAGGCTGTTCATCAATTTATATATTAGTGGTGGAAATTCTTCAATAAGATTTATATGAACTGGTGGAATTTTCTATCACTATCTATATGTGGATGAATGGACTTCACCAAACTGAATTGAGAAATAGCACTATATTCTGATGAACTGCACTATCTATATATTTATGGATGTTTTGCACTTTATTTTAATTGCACATTTTATATATTTATTTATTTTACAATTTGGTGTTTTATATCAAGAAGCACAATTGACCAGCAGTCTATGAGACCTGGACAAAGCCTGCGTAAGCTGGCAGTTTTTTTCAGTGGGAGCAGGAATAGGTGCTGCAGCTTGGAGCAGGTGGCCTAAAGTCAATTTTCGAATCAAGGTTTGATTTAATCATAAATCATCTGTATTCACCTCTTGACCTGTTAATGTGGTTCCTCAAATGTGCATGGCAAATAACCAGCAATGGCAGTTGAATCTAGAAGAGCCGAAAGTTGCTCATCTTAATAAATTTACTTCAGAGTTATTTTTTTTTTTTTTTTTTTTAAAGGAACACACTGTATAGTCTTATTTATATCATTATTATAACCCATAATTATGCATCTATAAATATTAGGAATGTATCTAAAGAAAAAAAGTCAAATTATGACATAGTGCATACAAAATATAAAATGCTAATTGACAAAGTGAAAATCAGCCATGCTCTGTTTTTTTGTACCCAGTTTTAGTGTGGCAATTTTTTAAGACATCAAAGAAGCATATGAAATTATTAAAATGCTAGATGACAAAAATATTCAAACAGCAAAGCTTTGTAGAAAGAACAGGTTTTATATAATACAACAAAAAAACATTTTTCTGCTATTAATTTCTCCAAAGCAGAATTTTTTTCAAAGTGTACTCAAAAAGCTCTAAACTGGAGTGGCCAATTAGATGGTAGAAATATTTGTTTTTCAAATAGAAAACAAACAGGAAAAAAATCTTTGACAAAGCACAGCATAAACAACATGCACTAGAGGTGCCGGAGGGAAACGGATTGGTCCTATGACATATCAGTCTCTTTTTTGTTACAGGGCCGTCTGAGTTATTAGCTTGCAGGCACTCTCAATAACAAGAGAGTTTCATTTTAAAGAGGAAGCCTTGATTCTTATTTTGATTTTTTACAGTGTGGATGAATGCAATAAATAATGTCTTCTTATTTCTTGTAAATGGCCCCATTTGAATCATCAAAAGAAAATTGAGGTTATTATGCGCTCTGTCTAGCAGCACTTTAGTTGCCAATTCTAAGGATGTTTGTTTATTACTTTATATTGGCAAGGGAGGTACTGCTGAATTAAACACTATAAATGTTTTAGGATGCAAGCATTTGTAACGCAATTGCCTAGGTATTAGTCTAGTACATTTTCACACAGCGTAATACAAGAAAATTACATTTAATACAAGGGTATTCTGCATGACATACAGCCTATTATGCACTAAAACATACTGGTTCTGTTAGTTTAATAAGAACATTCTTTACTACATTCAAGTTTAGAACAAATTAATCCACCATAGTGACTATATTGATGATATTTTATATAAACTTTAGCTTTTCAAATACAGCTACAGATAATGAACGAAATAATGTAGATAAAGGCCACGGTGGGAGTATTAACAGTGAGTTGCTGGTGCACAGATACAGGATTAAATAAAATAGGCATGCTTAACGCACCTAAATAGCAAGGTCTACTTGTTCATGAGGGCCCCCCTCCCCCATGCTAATTTCCAGCACTAGCAAAGTGACACGTTAGTGGTGACAACAAATCTCATGAGAAGTCACTATACTGCACAGGGCTGTTGTGTCATCTTGTGAAATGTTAGGTACTCTGCATTTTCTGGAATCTCATTCCAAGGATGGTGATGTCACCCTCTGTAGTATAGAAGCAAGAGGAAAGGAAAGTATATTGAACCTAAGTCACCTTGCTAGAATGCGTGAGGCTCCAGTTTTCAGCAATCTCAATCCCAAGTGAATAGCACCATTTTCAGCCTAACAGAGGGGTAACTTCCTATATACAAAACCAGTCACTCCAGCAGGCTCTATATGAACTGGGAGACCAGCCACATTAATGCCTTATTTTTTTATTTTTCATCAGTGTTGATATCACTAAGCTGTCTGAAGCAAGGGAACCCTTGTATTGGAAGGCACATTCTACCTTCGGCTCTCCCTGCTACAAAAAATAAAACCTCCCACCTCCATTAGACCAACCCCCCTCTACTGCTCACCAAAGCTCATTGTCCTAGGTGCCACTTGCCTCAGAGCTAAGGACACAGAGAAAAAAAAGAGAACACAGTTAGTCTGCTCATCCAGCATTGGTACAATACATGGAACACACTCCCACATTACCTCTAGAAGTCGGACATCCAATCGCTTTAGAATCTCAGGATTGTCAAATTGTGCATTGGTTGCTCTCACAGCAGTTTCAAGTATCCCTGTAAGATTATGTTGGTACAATGTAGTTGCTGGACGAACAAGTTCTGGTCTAAGATAAAATAAACAGATTCCTTCATTTCAATTCTACAATATCTTATAGACACCTTCTTGAAGTGAAGCTCCACAATTCACCCAAATATTAAATGGAAAAATTCACCTTTACCAAAAAAAGCACATTGTGCTGCCCCATATGGGTATAGCAGCATTGTGTGTTGAACCTACCTTCCCGCCAGGGCTCCCTTTCATTTCAAAGAATGTAGGCCAAAACTAAAAAAATGAAGATTTCTTAAAACCACCAACAGCCTGTGATGGCTCCATTCTGAATTACTGTAGAGATCAAGCATCCGCTGGGACCAGTGCCTCCTAGTGCTACAGGAGGGAGTGCCATCCTGCTCCTTCAGGCTGCATATGCACAGTGTATACTCTCCTGTCACCTTTGATAAGCTCAGTGGCTGTGAATAAAGAGTACATATTGTGCATGTGAGACCTTAAAAGACAAGATGGTGCTCCCTCAGTGGCACTAGAGGGTGCAGGTCTCAAGCACTGCGCTGTCCCTAAGATGCATTGCCTTTCCATGTACACCTTGCTGTAAAGGATAGTTATAGGTTGGGGTGGCTGCCATTTTTCTCTACAGCTGTCCCTATAATAACTCGGGATGGAGGCATCAAAGGCTGTAGGAGATTTTAAGAAGGCTTCTATTAAAAGTGGTTTTGGTCAACATTCTTTGAACGGAAAGGGAGCCCTGCCTGGAGGGTGGATTCAGCACACTATGCTACTATAACAATATACAACTGCATAGTCTACTTTTTGATAAAAGGTGAACTAACCCATTAATGCTCCTAAAACTACAAGGTCATACCACTGTGCTTCTCCAAATCCACCTCAGTTTGGATGTAATACTATTTTTATCCTGTCAGCGCTTGCTGTAATCCAGTATTTTACATGAAGGGCTGTTAACAATTGTTCCAGCAATGATGTCGACCCTCCATAGCAAGTCTCTGCATAATTTGTTCCCATAACGTCCTCATGCCATCATCCCATACCCTACATGCATTGTCAGTTAAGATATGGATGTGACAGCCTTTCTATGGGGTAGTATAGACATGCAAGGGGACACCTCTCATACTTAAATGAGCAGACTACACCTACATAAAAGAACCATTAAAGGTATTGGTGGTCACATGGCCACAAATAAAAAAGAACACATACAAAGAATATTTTCTAAGGCTATTGCTTCTCTGGAAGGGTTATTGCTGATACACAGAAACTTATGTTTGAATGAATATACTTGCTTTCTACTTTATTGTACCATACACTTGATCTCTACTTTAATGTCCAACTGTCGGTATACATCTTAATGTGGTGGTCTTTAATGCACCAGGATGTAGACTAAGCTTTTTACTCCACCTGTGCATGCAACTGAGTAAATAACTGCATGTATACGAGAATCACAAGTTACATAAATTATTCTGGCTTAAAAAAAAAACAAAAGTCCACCTAGTTCAACCATTAAAAAAAAAAACAAAACAAAAAAAAAACAGTTATAATCCTATACACACAGTTGATCCAGAGAAAGGCAAAAAAAAAAAAACAGCAAAGCATGATCCAATTTGCTCCTGCAGGGGAAAAAAATTCCTTCCTGATCCCCCAAGAGGCAATCGGATATTCCCTGGATCAACTTTACCCATAAATGTTAGTATTCAGTTATATTGTGTGCATCTAGGAAATAATCCAGGTCTTTTTTTAAAGCAATCTACTGAGCTGGCCAGAACCAAATCTTGAGGGAGTCTATTCTACATTTTCACAGCTCTCACTGTGAAGAAACCTTTCCGTGTTTGGAGATTAAATCTCTTTTCCTCCAGATGTAAAGAGTGCCCCCTTGTCCTCTGTGATGACCTCAGGGTGAATAACTCTACACCGAGTTCACTATATGAACCCACTGATGTATTTATACATGTTCATCCTATCCCCCCTTAATCTCCTCTTCTCAAGAGAGAATAAATTCAGTTCCTCTAATCTTTCCTCATAGCTGAGCTCCTCCATGCCTCTTATCAGTTTGGTTGCCCTTCTGTGCATTTTCTCCAGTTCTGTCTGTCGTTTAAAATATTTTTTTGCAGCAAGAACTCATCTATGCATTTACATATGGATTTTTCCAAGCCTGTAGACTTTACCTTACACATTAGCTGTGTGTGGGGAACTGAGTCAATCGCTTTTACAAAATCCAAGTATACCACGTCCACAGCCACATCTCTGTCCAATGATTTTCTCACCTCCTTATAAAAAGAAATCAAATTTGTATGACAAATTCTGTCTTTCATGAATCCATGCTGTCTGTTGCCTAACATTTTTTCCAGCAGAACTCATCTATGTGGTCTTTTAATAAACTCTCCAGTATCTTCCCAACTATAGAAGTTAAACTAACAGGTCTATAATTACTTGGTAAAGATTTTGACCCCTTTTTAAATATTGACACCACATTGGCCTTACGCCAATCCAGTGGTACTATGCCAGTCATTAAAGAGTCCCTAAAAATTAGAAACAATGGCTCTCAAATGACAAAGCTCAATTCTTTAAGGACCCGTGGGTGTATGCCATCCGGTCCAGGTGCTTTATTCACCTTTATTCTGTCTAAATATTTCTGGATCATCTGGGGCTGTGTCAATACCATGAACAAGAGCTCCCCCATGCTCATTTGTACTCACAGAGCTGAAGAAGGAATCTTTACATATGTAATTGTAATTATGATCCCAACAATTAGCATGCATTGAAAATAGCATTTGTGCCAAGAACATGTAGTGAAAAGAGAACAGAACTGTGTTATCAAGTGCTATCAAGATCAGGCTGTTAGTAAGCTGCACTTTACAGACATGAGGCTGAGAGCAAAAGGCTGCTTTCCAGCTACAGACCAGTATCACTTCAGTGATTATCTGACAAAGCAGTAAATCAATTTCGGCACACTGCTCTACTTAAAGGTTAAATGTTTTTTGGCTTAATGCGTTCTCTGCATGAAGGTAAAAACCTTTCATATAAACCCCCCCGCCCACAAATACTTTCTGAGCCTGATCTCCATCCAGCACTGTGCCTGAGAGCAGCAGCACTGCTCCTCAATCTCTTACTCTCTTCTGAAAGGACTCCCATTGGCTCTTGCTGCTGTCATTCAAATCCTGCGAGGAGGGAGTGGGGGGGGGGGGTAGGGCCGATCCACGCTGTGTATGTCAGTAGATGCACACAGCCAAGCCCAAACGAGTGCCCCTATAGCATGCTGCTTTCTATGGCGGTACTTGGAAGGGAGGGGGAGCCGAGAACACTGGCGGAGGACCCTAGAAGAGGAGGTTCAGGGCTATTCTGCGCAAAAACAATGCACAAAGCAGGCAAGTATGGGAAATGTATTATTTTAAGAAAAAGGGGGGAGCCTTACATCAAAAGACATGCCTCTGGTGATATACATCATAGTTGCAAGTCTGCTTATAGTATTTTCAGCTTTCAATTCAACTTTCAAGTCTCTAAACGTCTGGTGTCATAGCTGTTCAGATGTCACCATGGCAACTGCAGATCTTAACACAGGCTAAGATGGTGTCATCTTCCACTGTAAAGGATAGGATTTTTTGAAGTTTTATTTACTGAAACAGGTTGTTTAGTCATCTGTTCAAACATTACTGTAGCTGCTGACTTTTAATAATAGGACATTCACCTGTCCCATGATCCAGCCTCCTCACCTGGCCGGTTTCTTCACCAGGCTTCGGTCCCCGGAGCCAGCATACTAACTGTGGACAGTCGGCTGTGATGACTGCTTGCAGCTTCACTGCCGGCTGCTCACTATGCTTATGTAAGCCGCCCTGTGCTATATGAATGGTTCTGTAGCTTTGTGAACTTCCGCAAGGATCACAGAGGCGGTCCAACTGGAAGTGGGGAAGCAGGTTCCTGTAAAAAACCAGGTACCACCCCCCCCCCCCCCCCCCCCAAAAAAATGATGTGCCAAATATTATGGAGGAAAAGGGTGAAATTCCGCTTTACCATACATACACACATAGAGCCAATATACAAACTCCATGTAGATAGTGTACTGGTCAGGGATCAAAACGAGGACCCCAATGCTGCAAGACAGAAGTGTTAACCACTAATTCACTGAGAAGCTTTTGCATTTATAAAAATATAAAATACTATGTTCTTAAGTAAGCCTGTTTTTATATTTATCAGTGATCCAAGTAAAAAGAAATGCTCAAGTTCAAAATAAAAATTTCTTACTTAAGTAAGTCCATTAGATGGCGTATAAAATCTCCCTGACCCAGCAGGAGGTAGCGTCTCATGGCCTGCAAGTGCTCCAGCAAGTTGTAATTCTTGTTAAGAACATCCAGTAAATATTTGCTGGTCTCAAAATATGCAGCATCAATTTTACTCTGAAAAGCATTTTCCAGGTCTGTGAACAGATCTGCAGCTGAAAGGGATGAGAGAAAATTTAATTGTGTATGGCGTATTATTATACACGCACAAAAAAAAAAAAAAAACAATTTCATATGTCTACCATGCACTTTTGGTATATTTACAGAAAGAATCACAAAAAATACTGCACTCTGAAAATGGAATGAAGTTACTGAAATGTTTACAACAGTGTTCCATATATTACATTCCTTGTTTAAATTCAAATGACTTTTCATTATTCTTTCAATTACATGCATACCTAGCTAACCAGCGAATCTGGCCAGATTCAGGATCATCTACACCCCCCCTGCCACGGGAATTCCAGGTGTTGGGTGATATAATTTGCTATATATAACACTCCCCACTTAATGACACATTCAAAGCAGGTACAATGTGAAACTGCTACTCTGAGTCCCACTAAAGTAATAAAGCAGGTTGCAGAAAAGGGTATGATTATATTAAACAAAACAGTAGAACCACTTACCTCGCCTTAACCTTTTGCTAGGCTACATTGTTAATTCCATGAAGCTAACTAAAGACATTTATCCATATTCAATGTTGACTCTCGCTATGGGTCCAGTGACCATTGTCACTGTAATTGAAATTGTGGAAAAATCAAAGATTTTGAGTTATCACCAAAAAAGAATGTAAGGGAAATATATTCGATTGGAGACACCTGCTTCAGTGACAACAGTTACGCTAGGTTCACATTGATGCAGCTGTGCAAGCCACGTTTTGCGTGGGCATGGCAGCCAATTCATTTGAATGGGCTGCTGTGTCTCCTGAAATGCACCATTTCTGGAATCGCAGTCTGCACAGGAACCGCAAGTGCAGTGTGGTTCCCAGTGCAGGAGTGATTTCCAGTGCACGTGGCATGCCTTTAGAACTAATGGCACCCGCACACATCTCCTGCATTTTTCTGTGCGGGTGGTTGTGGCTGCAAGAACAGGTGGAGACGTGCAGCTGGAACCTCCTGCACTGATGCGAATCTAAGCTTAGAGATGATTTCTATCACTTTGGATTGAACATCTCTTGATGTGCTTTGATGCAGGACGTTACAGTGAACCTGTGCCCTGACTATGCACACTAAAGTATTTACATAGTGTAAGCAAGCAGGAAAAAAGCAAAATACCTTTAATCACCTTTCAGCCTCATGCACAAGAATGGTGAGAGGCGGAAAAATGCACTAGAATAAAACTGCCAGCATTTTCCAGCACAGGTGACCCATACAATCTGCCAAATAGGGGATGGGCTGTAGTCACATGTACATGTGTAAACAGCGATTTGCATGCATGTGTTTAGAGCATAATTTTCAAACAAGGAACATTTGCATTTGGGAAATATGTCATACACGCATGCACAGGAAAAAGCGATGCACAGAAGAATCAGTGTTTACACAAGTACAGGCTCAGCACAGCCATTCACTTATATGACCAGCTGGACACCCCAATTGTGGCTCTCCAGGGTGCAGGATACTTCCAGGAGTTTTATGCTTTCAGCTTCTCAACATCTGTGTGCATCAGGCCTTCTGGCTAAAGTTTTTATGCAGATATTGTCTTCAAAGTTTAACAATCAGCAGATACCTTTAAGCCCTTGGCGTTGAGAGTATGCAAATTAGCGGCCCTACTGGACTGGGCTTTTTTGCGTGGGGCCTCTAATTTGCGTGCCTCTCTTTGCACAAGACCAACAGAAAGACAAGGGTGTCAGTGAGAGCCCTGGATCCCGTTCTAACGATCGGGACCCAGAACACTCGATTCCTGGTCACATGACCGCTGTGAAAGCCTCTGATTGGATATCACAGTGATCAGTCACTGTGAAGCCCGTTCCCCCCCAACCTTTTTTTCCTTTCTTTGAATGGAGGAGAGAGGTACATTGTATCTCGCTCTATCCTTTCAGAGAGGAAAAAAAGTGTTTGTAAATAAATAAATAAAAATACCTAGATCAAGGTTTGATCTAGGTCAGTGCCAGGGTTAGTGTTTGGGTCAATGTCAGGGTCTAAGGTCAAGATCAAGGGTAATTTTTTTTTTTTTTTTTTGTCGGGATTTTTCTTTTTAAATTAGAATCAGTGTCAGTTAGCAGCAGGATTAAAAAAAAAAAAAAAGAAGCAAAATGCGCACTATTGTTTCTGAGCCATACTACGTGGTACAAACAACTAACATACATATATGTGGTATCACTGTGATCATCATGAGCAGGATAAATTATTTTGGGTTGTTCTTTGGTGGTTGGTTATGGTAGTAGCAAGAAATATACAACTAAATAATAAAAAAAAAAAAAAACTATTTTGGGTCAGTTTTTCCTTTGATAATAATAACAAAAAAAAAAATCAGAAGATATCCATTAACATTTACCACCAAATTAAAGCCCAATTTGTCCTGAAAAAAACAAGGTATAATGTACCTGGATGCAGTTGGAAGTAACTGCAAAATTGTGCTTAGGCTTTAAGATTTGTTTTACCCTTAGCAGTTATCTTTAAAATCTCTTAGGGACCTTTCACACCAGATGGGCTGGGCTGTCCTAATGCATATACAAAGAAAAAAGCCTGGTCATGACAGTTCATGCTGCTGTGCTGTGGCCAACAAAACTGAATAAAATGTCACTTTGTGATATTTCAAGAGAGTACTAACAAAATAAAAAAAAAAAATGTTAAGTACACAGTAGAGGCCATGCAGCACTCCACATTTCTGATGTGAAAATCTCCCAAATACGAAAAAAAAAAAATAGGACGGACAGGGATTTTAATCATTGCATACTCTTAATCCTTAATCTAAAAAAAAAAAAAAATGGCTTACTGATTACCTTCCGCTATATAGCAGAAATACTGCTACAGGGTGGCACAGGTGCGCAAAATCATGTATATATGTGATTTTGCATCTCCGGGTAGGGGGCGCACGCACCCTACCCGCGCCGCCATTAGCGGCCGCGTCTGTCAATCACTGGGTCCTGGCCGGTAATTACTCACCAGTGCCCCGTGATTTTCGAAGATCTCCGACAGGGAGGAGAACTGTTTGGTTTACTAACAGTCCTCCTCCCTGTCAGCTCGGGCACACTGCTCTGGATGGCTGTGCACAGCACAGTCATCCAGAGCAGTATGATTACAATAAAGCACGCTGACACCGCCCCCTATTAAAACACTCCCTGCACACAGTTAATACCACCAAAAGAAACCTCAAGTAAATTTAATTTGGGTGCAGTGTTGCATGATCGCGCAATTGTCAGTTAAAGCAACGCAAAAAATGGCCTGGTCAAGAAGGGGGGTAAATCCTCAGGAGGGCAAGTGGTTAATACTTTACACACATACATATTACAAATCTGTATAACATCTTAAAATAGTTTAATTTAACATGAATTAAGCATGAGCAGTTTATCTCTTTTAATTTCCATATTAAGCTTTTTGTATAAAATAAATGTAGGCATTTGTAAAAAAAAAAAAAAACTAAATTATAGTGGATCAGTGGCATTTACCATCTTTTGGTGATTCTGCAGTTTTGGCCACTGCCATCATCTTAGCTGTAGGTGTCTGATCATGGCACACTTGATGCAGAAAGTTGATGGACTTCCCAATTAAAAGAACCTGGGAATTAACAGTATAAAGAATTTCCATTAATACCAAACTGTTGTGCATAATATTGTAGTGTGCCTGCCACTACTGAGAAAAACAATTTTGACTTTTGAGGAATTTTGACTTGTCTGTAAATGCCATATCTTGAAGAACAGTACAGGACACATGCTAAGTATTCACAGACTGGGTTATAGGTTCATATATTCAGGTGATTGCTTTTGAAGAGACCTCTCCTATAACCCTACCTCACTCTGTGAGTCCTTGGTTTTGTAGCAAGCAATGCAGGGGAACCAAGAAATAGAAGAAAGGGTGTCCTGTACTGAACTCAAAGATAGGAAATTTACAGTTAAGTCAAAATTCCTCTTATTTTAATCATACAGTACAGGACACAGGGTGAGAATTCATAGACCTTGAGACATCTCCAGGCAACAAATAAGTCTACACTTATGCAAACAGGAATGTGCCAACAGGCCCTCCAAGAGTGAAAAGACCCAACTTCAGAATGGTGCTACAAAAAGCTACATCCACAGAAGACTGGACATCCACTTGGTTAAATTTTGAAAAGTTCCGAATACAGGACAGCTAGTAAAAGAACAAAAAATGGTGTAGCAGTTATATAACAAATATCAAACTCATGACCACTATTCTAAATAATTTTCCACCATGTGCATGTATAAAACATGATAAATAATGTCCCACGTGATACACAGATCGTTTCACAAAAGACGTTTTGCACATGGGACATTTTTTACCATAAGCTATATATGCACATGTTGGAAAATTAATTAGAATAGTGTTCATGAGTTTGATATTTGTTATATAAGTGTTACACCATTTTTTGTTTATTCTTTTGATTGTGTAACACACGAGTGTTATTGGGTGAAAGCTGCAAAATAATACACATTGATTTGGGTTGAGTCGCTATAACAGTGCACAGTTTTGATATATATAAATTTTTTAAGAGACCTGGTGCAAGGAAGGCCAAGGAAACCCCCCACCGACCAGACATAGTAGGTAGGTAAAAGCACTGGAAGCGATATGTTCCTTAGAGTGTAAGCTGTAGAAAGCAGATGTCGTATAAATTGAGCTATGGTGAACTTGGTAGCAGGATGTCTCTTGTGAGGTCTTGAGGATAGGACATATAAAAATGTGTCTTCCTGATAGAAGCTGTGGCTTTGAGGTAGACTCTGATGGCCCTAAGTATGTCCAGGCATAGAAGAGTGATTTCCTTCAGGTGTATTGGAGTAGAGAACAAGGATGGAAAGACTATGTCTTCATTGAGGTGGATGACTTGCACCATTTTAGGAAGAAAAGATGGTCTGGGGCATAGGGCTGCCTTGTAACTGAGGAAGGGGAATGGCTCCCTACAAAAGACAGCAGCCCATTAAGAGACACGTCTCACAGATGTGATGGAAAAAAAAATGGTAACTTTGCAGGAGAGGTCAGCTAAGAGGATACCCCAGAGAGGTTCAAAGGGTGGATTTTGCAGGGCAGAGAGAACCAAGTTGAGGTCCTAAGGAAGCATAGGGTGCTGCATGGGGGGAGGGGGGTCCTGATTTGAGATCAGGGGTGGACTGACAACTCATGGGGCCCCCGGGCAATAGGGGATCATGTCCTCACCCACAGCCAAAAAAAGCCTATGAAGAAGCCAATTAAAGGTATCAGGGGCATCTCATGGGGCCCCCTACTGACCCCGGGCCCTCGGGCAGTGCCTCTGTTGCCTCAAAACTTATAGTGTTAGTGTGTGTGTGGTGTGTGTCTGTGTGTGCGTTCATAATGTATTGGATACATTTAGCCTGTTCTCTATGGGGATCTTCATTTGCACTGAAATACCTTGTGATTCTGCCAGTTCGTCTCCTCCTTCCCTGTTTAATTTTGACCACACTAAGCACAGAAGCATAACCATGCTGGGATGGTTGGTTTGCACATCTGTTTTTCCTGCTTGGAGTTACAGGACGTCGTGTCAATACATGACATGCCTGTATCTCCCATGCAAGAAGTGTAGAAAAGGAAACCCTATATGTCAAACAGTTTGTCTGTGTTTAGTAAATGGAAACACCAAAAAACAGTTTACCTTTCTAGACTGATCCATGGTTATGAAAGATGGGATCATTGATTTCCTAAGAGTATACTTGTCATGCCAAAGTCGATCTGTTTTCACTGTTGGATCTGAAGCTACAAAAAACTAAAGACAAACAAGCATACATTTAATGTCAGAAATTGAAAATGGTGTAAATACAAGCATATAAAAATATACCCTTCTGTAAATATTCTAACCCAACATTAAGTAGATTCATGTTATGACCTTGATACTATTTTGTTTGCATGTTGAGAAATGTTAAAACAAATAATAAACTCTCACCCCACAAAACACAATTGCGTTTGAAAAACACACTGTAGGTAGGTAAAGATAATTAAAATTTACCTGCAGAGTATTTGCACCTAAGAACATACACAAATCACATACGTAATTTACATGTTAAAAAAAATAATCACACAGTGCCATCATTACTGGAAAGGGAAGGAAACAAAAGAACAAAAGCAATCAAGGTCATTATCTGCTGATGTACTGATGCAATCCCTGTTCAAGGATCTGCAAGTTCCATCATGACATGCAGAAAAAGTGAAGGGAAAAGAAAAAAAAGCTAATTGTACTATGATTTCTCATTAATTACTGGGTAAATGCCAAGGCAAAGTAAGTAAAATGTAAATAGCATTCATTTTTACATATGTTATCAGCTATTAAAGGCACCAAAATGGTGTTACTTCTTGACATGTTTATGGGAAATCACTTATGCTTGAAAAGATATTTATCCAGAATGTGTATATGGAATCCTTTGTATTCGTATACCTCTTGTGCCCAATTCAGAACACAGGAGGATCTCTTGGCGCCAGTCCGTTTTATCAGCAAAAGTCAGTGTGCAAAAGAGCAAAACAAGATAGTAATTAAATTATATCTGCAGTACAAAGAATAACAGCTTTTAAATCAAAGCTTTCAAAAGCCAAACCAAGTTATAAAACGAGAAGGAAAAATCAAGCAAATTGCCCCCACCAATAATACACTACCCAGATCAGCAGTAAATCTTTTGCCACATTACTCTATGACTTTACTGTCACAAAAACAAATAGCTCTCATATAAAAATTACCGAGCATCTTCGATGATACCAACTTTGAAGTGTATTTCACCTTTTGCAACCAAATTGGGATAGCTCCTGCTTTATATTTGCTTTGCTGTTTAAAGAGCCATACATGTTCAGATTGTTCATCTGAGACCAATAGTCAGGCGCTAAAAAGGTGTTGTACCGCCTCTTCATCACCTGTTTTAACCCTCTAAATACTGGACAACTGCAGGCGTAGTTTGCGGTTTTGTGGCAGTTGCAGCACAGCCCCAATTCACTGCCCGTCAAGCGAGACAGGAGGTTACTGCTGCGCCCACTGCCTCTCTGGTAAAAAGGGGAGCAACTGAGTGGTGGAAAAAAACAGCAGTTTTACAGCTTCCCTCATCACAATGGTAAACAAGCCCTTAAAGCTCCAGTTTGTAAATGTTGAACACAGATCCTAATGGGAGTGCTGGCTGTCACTTTAAACAATGAGCTTCAGCACTGCTTGAAGCTTGTTGAAAGCTTGCTGAAGCCTGCTAGCAGCTTGTTTAAAGTGGCAGCCAGAACTTCCATTAGGATCTGTGTTCAACATTTGCAAATTAAAGCTAAATGGCACTTTAAGACCTCATTTACACTTGTTTCAAATATGGCAGTAGAGACATGTTTTTAAAGCAATGTGAATATCAAGCAAAGCAGCTCTATTAAATAAAATGGAGAACTTACAATCTCATACACACAGGTAGCTTTCATCATGCTTTGCTGCATCTCAAAGCCCCCATAGAAGTCTATGGCCTCATTTAGATTTGCTTTTCTCAGAGAGCAAAGCAGGTGTAAATGAGCATTGAAAAAGCATGTTGAGGCTTGGATTCTGCATTGTTTGTTAATCAGCGGAAACTGACACTGTCCCCACTTTGTCCCTCTGAAGTCTTTCAGAATGTGTACAATCCTGCTCCTAAGAAAGACCTAGAAAAAAGTAAAATATGTTTTTTTTAAACAGCCTGCTGTTCTCTATCGGGCAGTCAGATGTAAACAGACCACCTGTTCTTTAAAGCGGAGCTCCACCTAAAAGGGGAAATTCTGCTTTGAGCCTTTGTCCCCCACTCCCCATTAAGGATTGGCACCTTTGGGGAGTTGGGGGGGAGCGAGTACCCGAATTTGACAGGTACCCACTCCCGCTGCGATCGCCTAGGGCCGGCAATCAGAAGCGGAGGTTGTCCTCCCCCCCTCTCTCCCCGTAGTCTTGTGGGACACATGACAGGTCCCAGAAGATGATGGTGCCATTCACAAAGCGCAGCACTTCTCGCGTTACCGCAGTGGGCACCCGGCTATGAAGCCGCAAGCTGTCACAGCCGTGTGCCCACACTGAAGATGCCGGCACCAGGGAGAGAATAAGGCCGGTGAAACCAACCGTGGTGAGGACACTGCTGGCCCGAGGGACAGATGAGTGGCTGTATTTTAAAAGTCAGCAGCTACAGTTTTTGTAGCGGCTGACTTTTATTTATTTTTTTTCAGCTGGAACTCCACTTTAACATCTGACTGTCATCCAATCCGATCTGGTAAACAAATGGGGAAGGGATCTCCCATCTGTCTGCTTTTAGCGGATCAGATGAAGGCGAGTGTAAACAGAACACGCTCAAATTACATGACAATTCACACCCAAGTGACCAGGGACTAAAAGTGGAAATACACTTCTCATTCTTAGACGTCTAGTTACAATGTAGCATACTTGCCAGACTAGCACTAAACTGAAAAGCACAGACTATATTTTCTTCACTAGGAACCAGAGACAAAGAATACAACACAAATAAACTTGAATGCATCAGTGGTGCAGACTGCGTTTAAAATAATCAATGTCTTAACAGTGTTTCTACATCTAAAAACAAAAATTAACTATATTGCAGTTTACCATTCCTTAGATGTTGTGGCTGCATTAGTTTTCATTATTCAGGCTAAGGTGATCTTATCAGAATTTTAGAGTTCATCCTGTCCTGTCACTTCCTATAAGCTGAACAAATTTAGCTTCCAGGTCACTTCAAATATCCTTCTCTTACTGTGTAAGAGTGTAAACTACTAGTCCCACCAATCAATCATATAATGGAGATGAACAAAGGCAGACATGTTTAAAGTCCAGACTTTGTGACACCCATGGTGTCCTAATACAGGGAAGTAAGACCATAGCTACCCCCTATCACAGGATGTGCCTTTTTTCTATTTTGCAGGTACACCTGGTGAAAAAAAACAAAAGGGAAAATTGCCAGAGGATAGATGTACACGTTGGTGGGTTAGTGGCCTGCGTTTGCTGTGCCTGAGTTTCCCACAGAAAAAAAAAACAAAAAAAAAACTCAGCCACAGGGAAATTCTGTTCCCAAACCCACTGTACCATTAAGAATGATTGGCATACTCGAGCGTTTCAACAGAGCAGCTCAATTTGGCTGTGAGTGTGGGAACAACGGCGATTTGTGCACCCGCAAGTGTGAACCTAACCTAAAAAAACAAATACAGATGCATCTAAGCACTAGTAAGCTGTAATAAATTATATGTATATATTAAACAAATTAATTGAAGACCGTGTTGCAAAAATGAATATACCCCAAAGTCTTAGGAGCAAAACTAGAATTTAGACAACAAAATCCCAATTAATAAGAATTAACTACAAATGAGTCTATTTATCATTAAACAGGTGTCCTGCAGACAGTTTAAAAGGGCGTTACTTAACCACTTGCCTACCGGGCACTTATACCCCCTTTCCTGCCCAGGCCAGTTTTCAGCGCTGTTGCATTTTGAATGACAATTGCGCGGTCATGCAACACTGTACCCAAATGAAATTTTTGTCATTTTTTTGAGACAGATAGACCTTTCTTTTGGTGGTATTTTATCACCTCTGGGTTTTTTATTTTTTGCTAAACAAACCAAAAACTGAAAATTTTGAAAAAAAAACCACACGGTTTTTCTTAGTTTTTGTTATAAAATTTTGTAAATAAGTAATTTTTCTCCTTCACTGATGTGCGCTAATGAGGCAGCAGTGATGGGCACTGATGAGGAGGCATTAGTAGGCATCACTGAAGGGCAGCACTCATATATGGCACTGATAGGCAGCACTGATTGGCATTGATAGGTGGCACTGACTGGCACTGAAAGGCAGCTCAGATGGGCACTGATATGTGGCATTGATGTGCACTGGTAGGCACTGATATGTGACATTAATGAGGCACTGATGGGCATTCACAGGTGGCATTGATGAGCACGGACAGCTGGCATTGATGGGCACTGAAAGGTGGCACTGCTGGGGCTACACTGATCATCAGTGCCCTGATGATCAGTGTACATGTCCCCTCCGAGAAATGCCGATTACCGGCTCTCCTCTCGAGCTGTCAGCGTTACAGCTCGTGAGAAGAGAAATGCCGATAACTGGCATTTACCCTATTTACATGTGTTCAGCTGTGATTGGACACAGCTGATCACATGACCGAGCTGACATCTTCGGCTCTTTCTGTGGATCGGTGATCGGCTGTGTCCAAGGGACACAGAGCACCACCGATTGCCGCACAGGCGCGGTTAAAGTGGGTGGTGGTCATATGACGTCCTCCCAGAACAAGAGAACCGCCTTACGCCCGTCATTACCTTATATGGTGGGTGGGAGGCGGTTAAAGAAAAGCACTTCCATTTCATGCTGTCAGCAATGGCACCACATGGAAGAGAAATGTCACAAGGCCTGAGAAAGAATATCATTTCTTTACACAAGAAAGGTGAAGGCTACAAGAAGATTAGCAAAGCTTTATCAGTCAAAATACTGTAGCAAAAGTGACACAAAAAATTAACAAAGATGGAATTGCAACCATCTCACAGAGACAACCAGGCCATCCATGGAAGTTAAGACCTCGATAGTAGAGTCTTCTCAAGAGAAGGGCTCAAGAAAATCGCCATGCAAGTTCACTGCAGTTCGCTAAAGAAGTATAAAGTCAAACTGGGGTGACGGTTTCCTGTGACGCAATACTGCGTACACTGCAGAGGAATGGCATGCATGGGTGTCGTTCACAAAGGAAGCCTCTCCTAAAGCCCATGCACAAAAAAGCCAGCCTAGAA